TATTAAATAATCCTCTTTCTATTAGTTTTTTTATGGTACAATAGCAAGTGATACCATTATTAGTTCTAAACACTGTGATTTTTTTGAAAGTTTGATAAACTAAGATACTAGAAAACTGGAAATTAAAATTTTTAAAAAGTATTTCAGCTCAAAATACCTGCTAATAATTAATTAATGATGCCTTTCTCTTTTAGACAAGGTGCAAAAATGCATTGTAAACATAGTTGGACCTGCTCTTGCAGCCAACCTCCAATCACATTGTCATTGCTTCTCTTACTCTTTTCTACAAATACTTTAATGGGTACTGCTCAAAATAGCTATTGTTTCTTGTGCCATCTACTAAAATTTGTTCTCGTGTTACTCGTCATTCAATTGTCTCATCTTTTTTCTGTGACTGTTCCTAAGTGCTCCAAAAACTCTTATTCATCTAATTTTTTCCTTGAACATCAGTTCTTTGGAATTCACTTCCTTCATCTTGCTTTCCTGATTGATATAATTTGCAATCTTTTAAGTTGTCTGTCAATTGTTATCTTGCTCTATAAACTTCATCTTTTCTCTTCCAAGAATTTCCAACTCTAATAGCGGTTACTTACAGCCTTGTTGGAAGCAAAGATGTTGAAAAAATAAAATTAAATGAAAAATTTTTTTATAGATATAACTCTGTTATTAATTTTTCAATACAAAACGAAGATCTAAACTCAAGGAAGTTTAGATCTTTGTTTTTAAATATATTTATACTTAGTAAGGTTATCAAGTATATTTATTCTTAATAACAAGGAGAGATGTAAAATCCCTTGAAAAATTATTTTGAAAAGTCAGTAATAGACTTAAATGCAAAGAAGTTTTTTATTTAATTATAAAAATATAAACTCTTTTTTTTAAAGTTTGAAATAAATGTTTTTTCATTTTTTTTTGTTGATAAAATCAATTCACAAAACAAACAAAAGTTTAAAAATTAAAATATCAAAAGTGGCACTAATATTAAATAAAGTTTAACGTTTATTTTTTTAGACTTGTTTAAATATTAAATAATGATAAAAAGTGGCTCAACTGAAATAGCCTACCACCTACGTTAAACAGGCTAGGACAGGAATGGCGTACGATCGCACTCTGTAACTGACCACACTAATATTTTTATTTCTTTACAACTTGACCACAGCTTTTTTGATGTTTTAACAATTTGAATGCAGTAAAAAAAGTGTTACGTTATAAATTTCTTTTAATTGTTGATCTTTTCTCAAGTTTTTTATTTTACGCAAAGGCTTTAAATAAAACCATAAAATTAGTTATAGTTTACATAAACGCTTGTGTAAATTAATAAAAAAACGTTATAAATAAGTTTTTTTTATGTAGGCATTTATTTTTTATGATAAATATAAACATTTGAAACTATTTTCTTATGTCTTCCTAAAACATTTTTAAACCATTACTTTTAGAAAGAATTTTTTTAAGTAACTTTAGTTTGTGGATAAGTTCAAAAGCTTTTGTGACTACTAATTTTTACACATTTTATGTGAATTACACAAGAATATAAATTAACTTTATTTATTTATATAAGCATGTATTTTGTTGATTTAATGAAAAAGTTTTGAAGCATTTTGTAATGTTCATACAATAAATTTTTATGATTAAACTTACAATTTTTTAAAATGTTTTGAATAAACATTTTATTTTTTGTAAACAATTTTTTTTTTTTTTTTCAATTTCGTTAGAAATGAATGAGATAAAATCTTTTATAATAATTTTTAAATTCGTTACGCGAAGCACTTGATAATAAAGTTGAAATGCTCAAATTAAAATTAAATTAAAAAGATTGTTGACAGTTTGTTTTATTTAAATTGCAGGCACATTTTATGCATTTATTTATTTTTTTCTATTTTTACGCATAAAAAAGTTCAAAACCTTTTTTTAAATTTTTTTAACTCACCAATTAGCGCATAAAATTAGTAAAAATTACCATTTTAAAAAGACCACGTTACAGGCCTTGTTAAGAAGCGTTAAGCAGCTCGCATTTTGCCTGCGATTTGCCTACGCGTTCAGCAGTCATGCGTTACGCAAAAACTTTTATCTTTTAGAATATTTGAATTATCTTTTTATATCGTTTATGTGATGTTCATTCAGAAGTATTAAAGTCGTAAGTAAAAGCATTTAACCGCAATTGTAAACTAATAGATTTTTTGTTAAAGAAACAATTTGTTTAATAATTTTTTTTTTATTTTTAAAAATTACTTAAAGAAAATAAAGTGTTTTAAGTTTAAACTTTTCATCATATTTAATTTTAAATATTAGATTTCATAAGTTTATAAACAATCAAATTTAAAAAAAGAAATATTTTCAATTTATTTTATTAAATTTAAATATTTTTTTAATAATTATAGTTTTTAGTAAATAAATTTATTAAATTTAATTAAAATTCTTTCATTTAATTTTAAAACAGAGCATTTTAAAATTTTTTAATTTTAAAATGCTCCGTTTTTTTTATGATAAAATTACCAAAGTAAAAAAAGATTTAATAAATTTAATTCAAGTTCCTTTAAAATGTTCGTATTACATATAACTTTATTTTAATTTTAGTTAAGTTTCAGGTAAGTTCCAAATACTGGTCTGAATAATGCGATTAACAAAAGCGCATTATTTTCCAGTTTTTATTTTTCCATTATTTTACAGTTTCATCCATTATTTACAGAAGCGCATTATTCATTTTATAACTACAAGTTAATAAATGACGTCAATACTTTTAAACTCGAGTTATAAATGTTATGTTTGGGTTTTCCCTTTGCCGTTTGCCGAAGAATTTTTTTTATAAAACAAACCAAGGACCTATTAATAATACGTCCTTGAACAAACCAAAATTCAAACCTATTAAAAATAACGCGATCAGTAAATAAACTCTTTAAAAGCCCAACTTATTTTTATTTTATTTTAAAAACAAAACTAGTACTTGAGCTATAAATATAAGATACATAAATTTTAAAATTATAATAATATTTGTTAAAAACAAATTCTGCTTATAACATCTTAAAACTGAGAACACTATTTTTTTTTTTTGGATTGAGTAAAAATATATTAGGTTTCACTGTACATAAAAATAAAATATTTTAATGGAAATAAAAAAAAAACAAAGCCGAAAAAGCAGTAAATTTCGTTTCTTTACAACATTTATTTTATCAAAACCAGTTAGTGCAAACGTTTTTTTTAAAAGGGGAAAACCCAATCTATGCGTTTAGTTATAAGTATATTTAAATCCCTTTAAGAAAATCAACCATAAACAAGTGTTAAATTTAAATTATTTAAAAAAATAATTAAAAAAAAAACAACCATAAAACTAATGTTTAAAAGCAAAAAAATTAAGTTTAAATAAGTATAAGATTTTAATACAAGAAGACTTTTTTTTAATCAACATTGAAATTTTATTTTTTATAACAACATTGTTCAATTTTCGTTTCAAAGACTAACAATAATTTTTAATGTCATTTTAAATTTAATTACAATGAAGTAAAAAAGCAACTGACGTAAATTAACTTTTAACAATGTAAATATCTTTATTGAGTAAAGTTACATTTATTCACGTTTCGCTTTTCCGTTACGCAGCGAAATCTTGTAACAAGGCCTGACGTTATTTTTTAAACAATTTTTATTTTGCAACTTTTTTGACAAAATAAATGTTTATACAATTTAAAAATATTATATAAAACACTTTTTAATAAATTTAATAAAATTTGTTCTTTTGTTAAACCAATCATTAGTAGTAATTTGTTACTTAATTTAAAAACGTTTTGCTTAACTTTAATAACGCTTAAAAAGATAAGCTTTAATAACGTTTATTTCATACGTAATTAAAAACATAACAAAAAGTTTTGCTTTAAGTTTAAGTTTTTATTTTCATTTTAGTGCTTATATAATTTCTTTTTTGTTATGAATTTGTTTTTCGTTTCTTTTTTCGTGAGGAATTTTTTTTTTGGCAGTTTTTTTTTTTAATTTTTTTCCTAGTTTAAGTTTAGCTTAGCATTTCTACATTCAGAACATTTCTGAAAGGTTTAACTCATCAAAACATATAAACATTGTTTATTAAACAATCGTGATCAAGTTGTCAAAAAACAAAATCATTTGCGTGGTCAGCAATAGCGCTCGATCGCACGCCATTCCTGTCCAAGCCTGGTTAAATGATTTCACAAGGCCTGCAATAGGGTACTTAGTTATTTTACTTAAAGTAACAGTTTTGCAAAAAGTAATCATGTTTTAGTGTGTTTTCTTTTATAGTTGTGGAAAATGCATTTAAACTTTAGTAACTGATTGTTTTTTTATAATAAATAAAAGCTATCAATTGCATAATTATTTAGAGAAAAAAAAAACTTTTTTAACGCATTACTTAAAAAGTAATTCATTTGTTTTGAAAAATTTTAAGCGAACGCCAATATTTGCGCAAATAAAAGTAAAGAAATGTAAAGTTCATTTTTCTATTTTTTTTTTAACAAATGTTTGCATGTTCGTTGATTTATGGGTTAGTTAACATGATTGTTGATTTAGTTAAAACTTAAAAGAAGATGTTTTTAGGATAGTTTAGTTATGTATGGCTTAGAAAAGTTGATCAAAGTATATATTATACAAATGTGATGTACGCTAAAATAAATCTAGATAAAGATTTATAGTTAAATTAAAAAAATTAAAAACAAGGGAAATTTTAAAACCAAATATATATAGTAAGTAAAAAATTATAGAAATAAACATGATTTGAAAAAATGCTAAAAAAAAAATGCAGCCTAAATTAATTCAAACTTAAACTGCAGAATTTCATTTACTTAAAAAGCTGAGAAAAGATAAACTCTACAACGAGGCCGTAATACTAACTTGAGAAGTCCTTGTCCTTGAAAAACTAGTCTTACAAATGTTTTCATGTTTTATTTTAATAAGTTTGACTTATTTACCTATTATTTAAATTATGTAGTATTTCACCTATATTATCCAAAAGCTGATTCAGAGGTGGTTTTTTTTTTTTTTAGGAAAAATACTTTACTTTTAAATAACATACTTGCTATATGTGGTGGATTGCTTCTTGCTTTTACAAAGCCTGCTAAATTAGTTGGGTTGCTTATATTTGCTCGTATTTTGCTAGGATTAAATGCTGGTAACTAACAATTAAATTTTTTTATTTAATTTTTAATTTTTGTCTGTTTTTTTTAAAAAATTTTTTTCTTGTTCTGCATATTTTACTATAAATTAATTGCTTTTATTTTGTCTATCCAACATTAAATAGTCATTTATAATTCATTAAATTTGATGTGGTTGTAAATTTATTGTTTCAGAATTTGTTATTTTACAGGTGTAAATACTGTAGTGGCACCAATGTATCTTTCTGAAATTGCCCCTGTAAATTTGCGTGGCTCGCTTGGCACAATAAATCAATTTGGTATTGTATCAGGACTTCTGCTTGCCAATATTTTAGGACTTCCACAAGTAATTTTTTAATATGGAACATTATGGTAATGTGTTGATATATATATATATATATATATATATATATATATATATATATATATATATATATATATATATATACATACATACATACATACATACATACATACATACATACGTATGTACGTACGTAAATACATACCAGCGGCGTATTCAGACCGATTTTGATACCAGTATAGTGGTATGGGCCCTAAATTTCTGCCTAAACTCAATTTAAAACAATTTTATATTAGAACCTAAAAAATTAAAAATAATTCTTTATTACTAATTATTTTGTGACAGTTTTGATGATAAAATTTGCTAAGTTAATGTTGCTTACATTTGAAAAACGATTTTTAAAACACATAAATGTATTTTAAGTCGATCAGAATGCTTAATTCGAATTCATGTTGATGAAATATGGAATATGTTACAATGGATTAAAATGTAAAACGCACATCTTGATTGGAAAAAATATGAAACGTTTACCGTTTTTAAATAAAAACATTTAAAAATTACTATAAAATGAGTTTCTCCTCTGCCTATGTTTTCATAATTATAAAAGTGATTAAATTATAAGAGCTTTAAACTTTTTCTTTTCAAATAACAGTAAAATTGCATTTTAAATAGTTTTAATAATAAAATAAATAAAAGTTTTTAAAACATAATAACATTATAATAATCATGCCAAAAAACTTGATTTGAAAAGTAAGAAAAGAACAAGAAAAAAAAGTTATTAGTTTTTGAATTTATTAAAACTTTGAATGAATTGACCTTGTTATGATATAAATATGCAATGTAATAAATCTTTTTAATCTATATAAAAGAAACATAGAAATGTTTCTTAAATGTTATAATTAGGGCTTGTTTATGAAATAATTATAAATTATATTAAATGAAAATTAGCAGCATTTATTAAATAAATAAAAATTAGCGGCGAATCGATGTTGGCGTTAAAGCCGTCATTTTGTAATAAATCTAACATTATTTTGATTAATTATTTACATTTTTATTTGGAAAAACATAAAACACTACATATAAATAAATATATTTAAATTTGTGTTCTAAAAAATTAAATAAAAAAAATCTTAACGTAGACAGGATTTTTTGACCGATATGCCCAAAAAATTTCTGGATAGATCACTGCATACATACATACATACATACATACATACATACATACATACATACATACATACATACATACATACATACATACATACATACATACATACATACAGCCCTTGGAATTAGGAAAAATGAGGTTGGCAATAAATCTATATAATAATGTTGAACTGAGTAGTAGTAGTAGTAGTAGTAGTAGTAGTAGTAGTAGTAGTAGTAGTAGTAGTAGTAGTAGTAGTGCCCTTTTGAGCATGTTTGACACTGAACTCTTGGCAGCCATTGCAACCGAGGTAATGGCGAGAAAGAGTTGCAGCACTTTATTTTATAAGAAAACGTGAATGAAAGTGTATGCAAATATCTAACATACATAAACTTCAAATTATGTAATGTTAAAACATAATTAAACATATATCAAGTTTTACAGTTTGACTTTCACTAGAAAATCGCATTGCGTCAACCTCTCCTTTATTTTGATCTATTGCATTTATTTCCATTAAAAAAAATTATTATATAGTTTTAAATTTTTGCAAGTCAACCTGCCAGCGTGGCTGAGTGGTTAGCGCGCAGAGTTTCTGGAACAAAAAAGCCATGGTTCGAGTCCTACCACTAGCGACTTTTTTTTTAATTTGTTTAGATCTTTTAAAATACAAAATACTTGTGAAGTTTTATGGAGATTATATACAAACATATGTAACAATATTACACACTTTAACAAACAAAAAAGATTTTCAAAAGAGCTAAAAGTTCTAAAAAACATGGAGAAGTTTGTTGCATATGTGTTATGATTATTTACTTATATTGTTTTAGTTTTACATTTCAAGTTTTTTTCCAACAAAGTTGAGTTCATGCAAGAAAAAAAACAACATGTTTATATATATAATTTAAAATCTATAGAACTATAAAGTAGTTTTGTTTTGCATTTTAAAAATAAAAATTTGAATAAAAAAGCTTGATGTTGATTTGAACTTACCACGCGGCAACCTTAAATTTTTTTAAAACAGTAAATTGTATGTTTTTATTAAGAACATAATTGAAAGTTCTCATTTTACATTTAAATTAAACCATTTAATTAAATATATCATTTTTATCAAATATAAACATAATTAAAATTTAAATTTAATAATGATATAATAAGGAAATTTAGAGTTTTACACCTATTTTACCGAGCCCCCATTAAACATTCTAAACCGAGTGTGCAACAACGACATAATTTAGATAACTATCTAAATAGTATACTCCATTATTTTTTGGCCTAACTTTTATAATAGGGATTGTCCATAAATTATGCAATGCTAAATTTCACTTGTGAACAAAACAAAAAAGATCAAAATTTTCGCTCACAGTGGTAAGTGGTAAGGCTCGCAGTGGTAAAAAATCAAAATAACTCATTAAGTTTAATGAAAATCGCCACCTTAAAGAACTTTATATCTCCTTTTTTAAAGATAAATTTAGCGTTGCGTAATTTATGGACGATCCCTTAGTAATTTATAGTCTATAGTTTTTAATGTTCTAAGATCTTCTTAGCTCTACCATTTGTATAGTGTTGCATGCAAACTTATGAAAGTGTAAATGTCATATGTTGAGTTTGCAGGCAGTAAACGGAACATTCATGTATAATAAATCTCTAAAAACTAGAAAACTTTTGAATTCTATTTTAATAACTAGAAATTTTATTTGCTATACAATTTTTTTTTTTTAATAATTATTGTAGATATATACTATAATAAAAATTTTGATATAAATATTGCTATAAGACATGTATCAGAAAAATCTGTGCAGACTTTTTAAAGGATATTTATTTAACTATTGTATTTCGATATTGAATGTTATATATACTTTAAGAGTACATATATTAATTTTCTTAAATTTCACTTTAGATAGTTTTTGATATTTTGTACATGAGAATGCACGCACTTTGCCTTTTACACTTGACATCAGCTTTTGCACAGTCTTCGACTGGACTTTCTTGGTAGCTCTAATCCATTTACTTTTGAAATCTGTTTTTGGCTTCTTTTACACTGAACCTTAGTTTTCTTTTGACAAGAGCCCAATATCTTTTGATAGGACGTAGTTTAATACAATTTGGTGGAATGCAGTGTTTTTCAACGAAATCTACTTTATGTTCTCAAAGCCAGTTTAAAGTTGTCCCAGATTAGTGACATGATGCTAAATCAGGCCAAAATAATGGGTTACCCATGTGTTCTTAAAATCGGCAAAAGACCTTTCTTGAGGCATTCTTTTATGTATATTTTATGAATATTATTATTCCCGTAGTCACAAACCAAGAGCTTCTTTCATTGCATTCACAAATTGCTTGCCAAACTAAGAATCTGTTTTTGAATTTTTGCATTTCAATGCATTTATAATTGAAATTCAGTTTCTCGCAATTATTTGCTGAATAATATTGGTGTCCTGGAAGAGATCGGAAATATGCAGCACAATGAGTTTCATCGTCAATAATCAAACAAGATTATTTGGCACATAATTTTTTATAGATCCGTTTTGAACAATGAATTGTGACATTTTCTCGCTTTTCTTCACGACGAGTAACTTTTTTCTTTTTATAAGATTTATAGCCACAATTTCTTTTCACTCTTTGTATAGTGGAAGCACAATTTCTTTTCACTCTTTGTATAGTGGAAACCCTCTCTCAACTCTATAACTCCGAAACACGAACCTTGACGAACAAGGCCGCTGCGCGGAGAAACAAGTTGAGCGCGGTACTAACAGGGACGTGGCGGGGATCGAACTTGGAACCTCTCGCTTATGAAGCGAGTGTTTTACCACTACACCACTACCGCATTCTTATCTTGATTTGATGACATTTCAATTAAAACTAATTGTTTTGATAACAGAGTTGTTTAAATTTTGAGTAACACTAATGATGCACAGTTTCTGTAAACACCACATCAGAATACATGCAGATTTTTTGCTGGTACATGTCTTAATGATTGTAGATATATACTATAATAATAATTTTGCTATAAATACAGCAAAATGGAAAAATATTCAAAATTTATTATGCAACGTCTTTTATCCCCCAAAGCAACACTGATGACAGCGCACTAAACCACTGAGCTATCAATGATATGTGTTTAGGAGAAAAACAAACCTAATTATAAATCTCTTATAAGCTCTAGGTATGCAGAAAAGGTGCGCATGTTAATTATTTTTGCTTTTAAAGCAATTTTTCAAAATGAATTATTTTATGTAAAAATATTGAAATAAAGAAATAATAGGTATAGAAATGATTGGTGTGGAATAGATAAGTATAGAAATAGCAGGTTTGTTAAAGGCCCATATTTTATGGGCCTTTAACAAACACAAATTTTACCTGAAAGAACAAACTCTTTCAATTAAATGCATTTGGAATTCAGGTAAAATAAGAGTATCCTTGGCAGAAGAAATATATGTATATATATATATATATATATATATATATATATATATATATATATATATATATATATATATATATATATATATATATATATATATATAACAACGCATTACATTAGTGAATTTATTTACCTTACATAACTTACAGAGAAGAGTACCTACAACAATAACAGATTCTTATGCATATACACCTCATATCCTGAATTAATACTTTATGTTCGTTCTTATAATTTATGTGGATTTTGCTAAGTTTTCAATACTTATAAAATAATCTCTTTATTTTTAAAAAAATTATAAAAATCGAGTGCAAATATGTGATGATGCCATTCATATTTTACAAGAAGACAAGAATTACAAGAAGAATTAGAAAAATGACAATGGCATATGTTCAACTTTCAGAAGATCAATGATCTTGCTGAAAAAGAACCTCTGAATGAGCTTGATAAACTTTGTGTTTTTAATTCAAGTGATTTGGA